CAGTATAGTTAGATATGTGGTTTCGCTAATGTTGTGATTGTAGATAGGATAAGTATGTACAATTTGTTCTTTCCGACTTTATCAATATTATACCAATCTGGTTAAAATACAGATATATGTTTGGTTTCGTTTGTTTTATACGTTGATGGCCTCCATTACATGAAGGTCGTTCCTCCTATGGTCATAGGAGCAGCTTTTGACCGTATGATGTCAGGCATTGATTAATCAATCAGCAGTGACCTTTCTAGTCGTTTACCCACAGAAGAACTCGCCGTAACAGACCGTTTCATTGGCTAATCCCTAACATCATCCAGAACGCCTGTTATATAACAACTCTTCCAGATCCTAGTGTATAAAAACGAAACAAAATAGGATCTGTGTTTTAATCAGGCTGGTATTATGCTTGAAAACGACAATAATTTTGTTGAAGAAATGTATGTGTAGCTCCGATTAAAATTCAGCAATAATAATAATAATAATTTATTCGTACATAATAAGTACAATTACAAAAAGTATCAATACAAACATAAATTTGACCTTAATATATACATAATGTTAAATTCACTTTGTACAAAGTTCATTAATTATATTATTTAAATTTTCACCGTTTTCTCTTAAAGATATAAAATCTCTGATGACGCCTGCCTTATTTTTATCATTCTCTGATTTTGAATTGATGTCGATTTTATTTACTGCAGATAAAATCTTACTAAGAGACATATTAGTCAGTTCATATTTTGATAAACTATATCTTTTTGGGTGGAAATCGTATCACTCATTCTGACTACTTCCAATTCTCAAATAATGTATTATTCTCATCACAAAATATGGTCTTTCATTATCATTCATAAATCCACATGTTATACATACAAAAAAATAATTTAGATTTATTCCTTAAACATACATTATGCAAGAGCTAAATCTTACTTTAGGCCTGAAATGTTATCTAAATTATTAATTAGACATTAATTTACTTATCCAGACCATAATCAACTCTTGCTGCCATCGAATATCTCCGATATTAAGTAGATTAGAGCGGTTCAGCCATAATTTGTTTTAATCTAAAAATGGTGAAGCGAGGCTAATCTTCGAACAATCTTCGAACAACCAGTGCGGTGGTTGCAATTAATGCACACATCTTGTCAAACCGTCAAAAGCTAATATCTTTGCTCGCAGTGGAGCAATATGAATGAAATTTTTAATAAATTCATTTTGCATTATCAGTTTTCGAACTATTATAGTAAGAATGGCTAACTCTTTATCTAAACCTTACATAATGTATCTTTAATATAACTATTATAGCAATAATAGCCAGCTCTTTATCTAAACCTTACACGATGTATCTTTAATGATATTGATGTACATCAATGTATAAGCAAATATTTACAAAAAACATGAACATCCAAATAACAAAAGCAAAATTTTGCTTGATATAATAATACAAATAAAAATCTATAATGATAATGTACTGACAATGTTCTAAATATGAAAACTAATGTATTCGACATAATAACTGCCCTGCTCAAATAAGAACCCACAACTTGATTTTCATTTGGGCCTGACAGGAAAATGCTCAGTGCTCTGGAGTTCATAACAAGGATTTCACTTTAAAATATTGCTAACTGGTCAATATTGGTGGTATTCCCAGGTATTTATTTCAAAGAGTTTGATTATTTTTAATTTTCCTAAATTGAACTATATTTGTTGTGTATTAAAGGTCACCGGAAAAGCTTCATAAGTTTTTAAAATAATGCAAGTAATTATGTCAACAGCAGAAATTACTAACATTGAAATATACCTGTTGCAGGTAATATTGACATTCGGGTTCGTGTTATACTTATGGAAAGGATATGTTGACTGAAGTGACAGGTAAATTCCCCATCTGGTCAATTTCACTGTCAGTCAGTCAAGACTGGTAAATATAACTGACATGAAAGCCCTGATTCATAAGTGAGAGAGAGAAATGGGGTTTAACGTCCACTCGACACAAACTAGGTCATTTCAGGATATGGTTTAATTTTATTTCAATTATTCGCTTGCGCGTAGGGGTCTTTTAGCAGTGGGAGGAAACCGGAGGACCCGGAGAAAACCCACGAGGTTGGACAGGCGACCCTACTCCTTGTCACGTACCACCGGGGATTCGAAACCACGCCAGTCGACTCAATGACAGACTTTATGATACAGCGCGTGCACGCTAACCATTCAGCCATCCACCCCCCCCCCCCCATTTCTTAAGTCGAATACATTTAACAAACATTTCCGTTACAGAAAATGGAATCTATGGAATGTTGCTTTATATCTACAGAATTGTCATTTGACACTGGTGCACTAGTACGCTGCTATATTAAGCATTATGAATATACAAATCGGACAATCTGATTAAAAAAACAGATCCTGTTTCATTTCGTTTTTTATAGTTCAATATTTCGTTTTACTGGTCTTCTGGAAGAATTGTTATATTACTGGCGTTTTGGTTGAAGTGAAGGATTAGCCAATGAAACGGTCTGATCTTCATGTAGAGTAGGCAATCAAAAGTATAAAAAAACGAAATTAAATTTAGATTTGTAGTTTAATCAGACTGTGAATGGGAAGAACCAACAGGATCTATGGAAGGTTTTAGACTTTTTGTCAAGGTTCACTGATTAAAATACAGATCTATATTTTGTTTCGTTTCTTTATACTTTCGATGGCCTCTACTACATGAAGATCTGACCAGTTGCAGTGGGAGGCCACGTCAGTGGTCATACGAATGGCTTTTGACCCAACATGAATATGACATCAGACATTTGATTAACCAATCAGGGTTTATGTTTCTAGTAGGATTACTAGGATACCCACAGTTCTGAGCATCATCCACCAAGAACTCGATGCAATGGACCGTTTCATTGGCTAATCCCTCACATCAACCAGAACGTGGGTTACATGTATATAACAACTCTTCCAGATCCTAGTGTAATAATGACAAGAAAACTGAAATTTTAAACCATAAAAAAAAGAAACAAAAAAGGTTCTGTGTTTTAATCAAATTGGTCAAGGTCAAGGTTGAGAGACGGTTCAACCATCATAATAACCCTAACCTGCAGACTAGTGAGCATAATACTAATGAGGGCATTTATAATTACCTGAACAGAAAAGGTACACATATTCATACAAGTATTAACTGTGAAGACTATAGACTTCAGGTGGAAATAGGTATACATGTACTGGAATAAATCAGCCTATTCAAGGACACACAAACACAACATTTACCAATCTGCCTATCTCATTTAAGATCGTAGCATTTACGGCAAAGTGGGTCAGAATGCGCACGCATGCCACTCTTCATTCCTAACACCCTGAGCTTCTGCTTTGGATGAATTTCCCCTTGGGTGCTTCCCTGCAAAGACATTATGTCTTACCCAAAAAAGCTGGATCAAGCCTATGTTTGTGGCTTCTTCTAGCAAGTTTCTTAGGAAACTCTTGTCTTGTAGCATTTATGACAAAGTGGGCCAGGCTGCGCACGCTCGCCACTCTTCATTTCTTACACCCAGAGCTTCTGCTTTGGATTAATTTCATCTTGGGTGCTTCCCTGCAAAGACATTACCGGTATGTCTTACCCAAAAAGTTGGATAAAGCCTATTTTTGTGGCTTCCACTGGCAAGTTTCTTAGGAAACACATGTCTACGATATCACCATTGGTGGAAGTGGACGTAAAACTCCAAGAACGAACGAACCAACATTTACCAGAAGTCTCTAACCTAAAAACAAGCGGTTACTACCCCAGCTCTTTAAACTCTTATAAAATAAACAGACAAAATTAAATAACCAATTCAAAACAAAACCCCCACTAATCTGTGTATCAGAAAATCACAAGTTGATTATAGCATAATAGCATGATAAAAATTAAAAAAAGACAACTTTCCCTGACTTTGTGAAACATCAAGCAATCTTTTAAAAGTTATATCCTTCTTTCAATTCATCTTGATGGCTCTGATATCAGTACACGTAATATAATCAAGCCCTGGTTTCACAATACATTCTCATACTTAAAGACCACGTAAGATCAAAAATCTAAATTGCATCTATGTATAGCCCATGGTTACTATATCAACTTTACGGCAAGTTCACACCAATCTGATTAAAATTAAGTCCGCTGTTAATGTTTAAGTATCCGACACGCCAAAACGCTTTTCGATTTTTCAATTACGACCTTAATCCGGTTGATTAGCTGGTGACGTCACAGGCACTACACATAGGATATACATTATCTATACAATATCTCACTGTCTGTACAATATAGCACTATCAATACACACGGCAACTGGACAAGCGTCTATTGACGGTCCAATTACCATGTGACTGGCCTAATCATAATCACCGAATTATCGTCTTTCATTGGTATAGATTAGACATTTGTGATTGGAATATTTTAGAGTGAATTTAAAATGCCGTATCATGCCGTAGATCAATTTAAGCTGCCTTTGTTTAAATAGGTCACATGTCAAATGAAGATGACTCAAGAAATTAGCGCATTTACTGGTAATTTGGATAACCCCGTAATACTTGATATCCCAAACTTAAGTACAGAAATACATGCCAGTCATTTGTCGATATATTCATTATTCGCTATATATAATAATAATAACCATTTCTATACATAAAGAACAACTACAGTGAATATGGAATTTTCCGATGACTATGCAAAACATGTACAATAGATCGCACTCATTTCTCTACCAATCAACGCTTGGTATCTTAAATGTTGTTTAAACGCCAATCAACAAATAATACGAGGCTACTAGATTACAAAAACACCGGTGAGCAATAATTATTGGGTATATAGTAATTTTAAAAACTTATTAGTAAAATTTAATTATTTTATACAATTAATGTGTGTGTGTGTATGATTCTACCATTAGTTCATAAGGGTGTCGTAACATTATAACCTAATCGTATCAAAAACGTTCATCCATTCATCACTTAAATGTTGTTTAAACGCCAATCAACAAATAATACGAGGCCACTTGATTACAAAAACACCGGTGAGCAATAATTATTGGGTATATAGTAATTTTAAACAAACTTATTAGTAAATCTTAATTATTTTATACAATCAATATGTGTGTGTATGATTCTACCATTAGTTCATTTGTGGGTACTACGCACACGTTCCACCTAGAGTGATGTCTTTGATCTGGCCAGCGTAAAAAAGATAATTACCTAATCAGCATTATTAATCCCACTAACAATCACTGCTAACACCGAGATGTAAATTAATTAATGACCCCCAAGTCTGTATAAGTTTAGTCGCATTGATTAATTAATGACAGATATTAACGACACTACTTGTCATATTATTATCAATACACAAAGATAGTTAGATGAAACTTCTCAATCTGTCTGTTATTCCATTTAGATGGTTACCCTCAAAAATTATTTGTACTGTATATTGAGATATTTTTTCGCATTTCATTTTTACGGTCTATTTCAGAGTAATGAAGTCAAATCCGTCGTACGATGATAACGGATCGTCATTTACAAATCGCTTTTCAATCATGTTTGACTTTTATGATACAATTTGCATGACCACATCTTTTTAACACTGTACTTTTTTACTCGCGGAAATTAGAACCACAATACGAAAATGTATCTCTAATTAATTGGACTGCACACGATGTTAGAGGGTATTAAAATTCCTGTCATGAGAAACAAATTCTAAATTGAATCATAAATTAAAATGAATTACAAAACAAATTATTCCGTAGTCAGTTGTTTTATTTAATTAAGGAACTAAGGGGGATTAAGGAACCAGTCAGGCGTTAATGAGTACACACGCCGGTTGTATATAGGTAATTAAGGAATAAACATTCCGAATATGCATTTGGTCACTGTGACGTCCCTGGCGTCTGAGGGGATTAAGAGTGTTTTCGATAATTGGCAAAGTCGTTTTTAAGGGAGGTCTATTTTTACGACTTTGAGTGAAGATAACTGAATTAATTTCAATCAGATTGGTGTGAACTTGCCGTAAAGTTGATATAGTAACCATTGGCTACACATATCCAAAAGTTTCCAAGCCCATCTTATGTGCACTTTAAGTAAAATTGTTCGCGTTTTTTTAACGTAGTCCTTTATAAAACTTTTGTTGTTTTAATATGTCAAATACATCAATAAGAAACTACATGTATGTACAAATTTCTGTGTTGCTGGGTCAAAGGTATTTCTCATAAACAGTGATTGAAAGTTGAGTAAATTCTTAACTTCAGTCTGAGAATGCTTTTGTGAAACTGGGGCCAGAACGTCTAATATTAGTATTAAGATAGGTATTCTGTATTTACAAACTTCCTGAACTAAATTTTACTTAACATCATTGTGTCACATCCTTACATACATGTAAACACTACAAACTGCCAGTGAAAATGCAGCTTTTCGAATAATGCCAAAACATTACCATCTACGGTAATTGTAAACTAGCAGAAAACAAATAAACAAATTGAAAAAAATCTGATTATAATCAGATACACCCATTATAATGTATTTAACGTCCACTCGACACAAACTAGGTCATTTCGGGGCTAACATATGGTTTAATTTTATTTACATAATTTGCTTGCGCGTAGGGGTCTTTAGCAGTGGGAGGAAACCGGAGGACCCGGAGAAAACCCACGAGGTTTGACAGGTGACCCTACTCCTTGCCACGTATAACCGGGGATTCGAAACCACGCCAGTCGACTCAATGACAAACTTTATGATACAGCGCGCGCACGCTAACCATTCAGCCATCCACCCCCCCCCCCAATATATATCCAATGGGTCCAACTAATATACAAATACAAAGAATAAAATAACGTGCTTACAACACTCCATATACATGTACACCAATATTTGGAAAATAAAACTTTTAAAGTTTCAAAAACCACAACAGGGCCCTTATTCACGAAAACTTAAACTAAGATACAATCGAAATTTTAAGAAATACTGCAATTCAATTGGCTGACCAGTAAAATCAATTTGCATATATCCAATGAAGTTGCAGTATTTCTTAAAATTTCGGTTGTAACTTAGTTTAAGTTTTCGTGAATAAGGGCCCAGAACAATGAAATAATGTCAAGTTGATTAAATGGGTGATTTCAATCTGAAAAATGTCGGAATTTCATCAAGTTTGACATTGTAACCTGTCAACCATTGTCCCCCTTTATAATGTTTTCCACGTAACTGATCCTCCCATTCACTGCCTTGGGGTAAATAAATATCTCTTTGAGTGGAATCAGAATATAGAACTGGTGCCACTAATAAAACATCAGCCACAAGAAATTCACAGTCAATTCTTAATGCTGTTGAATCTTCTGGCGCTATCCACCACACTGGTCTTATTAAAGGATATCCTGAAAAACAAAAAAGAAAATTATTAGTTTGTTATTCTACAACACATGTACATAGGCGTACGTAACTAACGTACGAAAATTAATTGGTGGCTAGCTTTTTTTTCGCACGTATACAGTGAATGGCCATTTTGCTCAGTAATCCCAGCCAGAATTTGGCTATTTTCTAAATTTGCGTTAAAGTTTAAAATATTTGTTTTAGAACTGAAACACATTAACTATTAGTCAATCCCAACGCTAAAAACATCAACAGAATTGATTGTGTATATCTGAAATAGACCCGACCGACGCACAAAACAGTGCAATATGGCGGCCTCTATGAACAACCCTCGCAGACGCTGTCATTGAAGACAACGTCAATTCTATGAGTTGTAGATGTTATTTTTGTGAAAAATCATCGGAAGAAGAGAGAACATGTTGGGACTGTACGAATTATATAGTCTTTATGGGTGCAACGGACACAATGCTGAAGATAAACCTATTGTTTACAATGTTGACCTCATGACCCATTGACGCCAATGTCATGACCTGTGATGTGTAGATCACATGATATGGATATCATGGCTACTGACTGTGTCTGAGATACTTCTCCGCAGGTAGCGTGTCTCAGATGTTCAGAATGGTACATAGGCCTACTACATACATTTCATTGTTCGTGGGGGGTTGGATGGCCGAATTGTTAGTATGTGCACGTTGGATCATAAGGTCCATCATTGAGTCAACTGGCATGGTTTCGATTCCCCGGTTGTAGGTGACAAGGAGTAGGGTCGCCTGTCCAACCTCATGGGTTTTCGCCAGGTACTCCAGTTTCCTCCCACTGCTAAAGACCCCTACGCACAAGCGAATTATTGAAATAAAATTAAACCATATGTTAGTCCCGAAATGACCTAGTTTGTGTTGAGTGGACGTTAAATCCCATTTCTCTCTCTCTCTTCAAGGAACTAGGATAGTCAATATTGTACCCGGTGGTAAAGGGTTAATAATTAAACAATAATAAAACATATTAATTGTAGGATTGTTAGATTATTAAACATACATTAATGCAAGAGCTAAATCTGCCTATTGCAGGTCTTTCTTTAGGCCTGAAATGTTATCTAAACTATTAATTAGACATTAATTAACCTATCCAGACCATAATCAACTCTCGATGGCATCGCTAGCCTGTGATGTTTAATGTTTATTGGATTAGGTTCTGATTTGCTGTTCGACTTCCATTCATAATTTAATCATGAAATGGATAATCAAGACTATGTTTTTTATCGTACCGACTTTAGTAAGGCCGAGAATTCAATCACTAAAATCTTGGTTCAGAGTGGATCAATTTGACTGAAATTTTCAGCAAATCCCCTTTACATTATCTAATTTTTAACTATTATAGTGAGAACTGCCAGGTCTTTATCTAATCTCCCATAATGTATCTTTAATATCAAAAGATATTTACCATAACTTAACGATTCTTTAGCTGCAAGTAGAAGAACTGGCAAAACTTTAGTTTCATGAATTCTAACAAAATCTTGAGCAATCTTCACTACTTCTTCATCATACTGCCATGGTGCTACAGAAAACTGCATGACCGGAAAATAAGCGGACATAGTCAACCATCTTATGTACAACTCTCGATCTGGTAATGAGGGAATTCCTGTTGTTTCATTAATAGATTGGGAAAATCCCCCAATAGGTCCTGGGATCACAAAAGGATATCCCAGTATACCGTAAGTTAAAACAGTTGGGATTAAACTCGGCAAGCCATCCACACTGCTCCAAGTGGAAGATCGCGCAGCTATTTCTACGTACACTGGATATTTCTGAGTTTGATGGGCAGCGGTCACTATAACTTGCTTTCCAAACGTGTGCGCAAGTTCCACATATTTTGTCGTGAATTCACATGGATTGTGTAAAATGCTTGAAGAATGAGTAGCTGTTGATATGAAACTAGCTTCACCAAAATTAAACTTAAAACTATCCATTAAATATTCAGTTTTTAAAGCATCTAACTTTGTTTTAAACCATTTCAATGCCTCAGGATTTGTGAAATCGACCAAGGACACTGTCTTATTTCTAAAAGAAAAATTAAACAACTGTTGGTTATCTCCCTTCATGAAATATTTATGGCTGCCGACTTCCATGAAGCTTACAGAATTATTATCCACAAATGGATTCACAGAAGTTATTACTTTGTATTTTGCTTCTTTGAACTCTCCAATCATTTGATGAGAGTTACGGAATAGTTTATCGTTGAAATGGAAATCTCCGATTCCTCTTTCATAACCCTCTTCAATATCCAACTGACTAATCGGAAATTTATACTTTTTGATATTATTGACTAGCATAAGAACCTTGCTTTGAGAAACATTCTGTTGAAATCGCGAAAAGGTTGACCATTTCGGATAGCGCATGATATTGGCATCAGGCATGTCCAATGGTAAATCAAAAGATTTCTTAAATAAAAATTTGTGGACTTGCATGACGTCAGGAGCTTTGCAAACCGTGTATTTTAAGACCGGTGGATTATTTTCAGGATTTGGATACACGTTGCTGTTTGTATAGTCCGATTTCAAACATAGATACCTTTCTTCCCCGTGATTGATACTCACTTGAAGTGGAACAGAGTTATCAACGAACAAACCCACACCTTGAGAATTTATCCAATAACGTTCGATCATCGGTCCAAATGCTCCGATAGTTTCGTAATCCCCTGTCAACGTGGCAGATATGTACGGCTGCAACTTTATCGAAACCTCTTCTAGCGGCCATTGTTGTGATTTCAACGCGGAGCCACCATACCAGTGACCACCAGATAACGAAAAGCAATCAAATGGAGAAAATTTGGGGGTTTTCGATGTCCAAACGATATTATAACAACGTACAATGTCATCATGGATAGCTTCGATAACTTCTAATTTACCGATGCTATCCCACTCCAAACATAACTTGTGTTTATCCTTAGAATCTGACGGGTTACAGACGGGATGAGGGCCTTTCTGCACATCGATCGGCAGGGACACCGATAAATATTTTTCTCCTTTGTTTGTTAATGTGTAAATACCGGTTGAACAATCCAACTCAAAATCACCAACTTGAAACGTCGAATAAAAATAGTCTAAAACATTTTTCTTTTGGGAAAATGCACCCCTTAAGAAAAAAATGATAATAAATAAAATAAAGATAGCTGAAATTATCTTCAAAAGTCTAATGATCTTTCTCCTTGGTGCCTTCATTAAGTTCATCTTGTAATAATATCACAGAATCTTATAAAGGTCTAGTTCTGGGTTCATCTGGTAAAATAGATCAAGCAGTTCATGTCTGGATGTAGGTTCATCTTAGCCCATCCATCCAGAAATTGCCTACAAGTACAATGTACCATAATAATATATATAATAAGGGAGACAATTTGAATTAACACAATGGAAGGTAGGGCCTATATTTCAAACTTTAATTAATTTACTCGTGTATGTTCAGTGTGCATACATTACGAAACAGTACATAGTTCTTACGCACACAATCTCAACAAATTGACTTTTTGGATAATTGATGGACAAATTAAACAACAATAAGCCATTTTGATCTTAACCCTGTCTGATCTAGAATTGAGTAGAAATGTGGCATGCCTTCTTCATTTGGTATGAACTACAATAACTAAACTCAAATGGACCCTTACGACACTTACGTTTATTGTCACTGATAGGCCTCAGGCTAAAGGGTGTGACTGTGAGTTTTTGTAATGATTATAAATTTTTCATTTCCAAAATATAATCATATTCATATAATCACAATTTGTAACAGAATTAGTTTACAGCGGAATGCTATTTTCAGTTCTAAACTATAACTGAATATTAATTACCAAACATCAAAGCAGAAATAAATTACCATCCACAACAATGTTTTTCATTCTTCAAAAATCAACGTTGCTGCAAACGTGTCTTTTTCTTCACGATTCAAGCAGTCGAAGAATACCTTTCCGGATATGGGGAACCTAATAAAATTTCTAAAAATAGATCCACCGAAGGGAGATAACTCCAGTAAATAGGATACAGACCTCCATTGATTTCTACGTCCAACAGATTTCTGCATCCGAGACAATGTGAAAGATTTCCAATACGATCAGCTAAAAGATATTTTTAAAGGAGCTAAATCACTAATATTTTGGACCTTGAAATTGACACAAATGGGTCGCAATGCATATAATAATGTAATATGAATGTATATAAACTGATTTACATTCAATCGTTTCTGATTTTACTCTAATTTCTAATCAGTAATGTTCGGCGAAATACGGCAGAAGTCTCAATCGAATGGCAATCTCTAGTGTCTGGTTATTCCAGTCTATACTGATATTATTTATTGCACATGCTCTCCAGATAAGAATATGTCATCACCGTTTGACATGACTTGTGGAATATGTCTAGCCTCATCCTTCGAGTCCCATGTTATAAATGGCTCTGAAATGCATTATAGTACACGATTGTGTACCAACGGTAAAATGTTTATTTTGTCTTAAATATTGGATATCAGAAGCCTACCTTTTCCCGGTAAGATCACAACATCAATGTTGATTTAAATTGACAAATAATTCGTGTTTACAACCTGTAAGACTTTGGATGATACTGAGTTACAGACTTAGCTACTTTAAGATTTGGTACAAAGCACTTTTTGTATCACATTTATTATGACTCTATGGCACCATTTTGATCCCAGTTGTCTGTGAAATCCGACCTGGGTTTTCATCTGAGTCACCTTGAAAAATTATTATTTCAATTGTTGGCCTTATCAAATAGATCAACACTGCACCCCCCAATAAGACAGTGGCTCCATCTACACCAAGTTTGCAACATTCTCTGGAGGTCTGGTGTTCGATCCCTGCATTGGCCTAGAATGTCCATCCAGATTTTCCGGCTTGGTCCCCCCTTGTCAGTGATGTAGGACGGAGGGTCTGACAAGGACAGATGTCTAGTTGTTCGAATGGTATGAAAACCAGAGGTCCCGTGTACACATTGGCATGCACGTAAAAGATCCCTTGACAGTTGGAAATCGATTTAAGAGTAGGCCGTAGTGCTACTGCCTGGGCAAAATTTCCCTCATTGCACACTGTAGGGCGTATGCCAGTCTTCATTAGCCTAGTTCGGAGCAGAACTAAAGGACGTTAAACCCTATTTCATTTCATTTCATTTTGCAACATTCTTCCTCAATTAGAAGCAGATTTACTGTGTTCCAAGAGGTGTGACAGATCGATAAACCTTTCTTTCTCCGTAAAATGGAGGTAAATCCGGTAAATGAGAGAGAGAAATGGGGTTTAATGTCCACTCAACACAAAGTAGGTAATTTCGGGACTAACATATCCAATTTTATTTCAATAATTTCAATAGGAGCCTTTAGCAGTGGGAGGAAACCGGAGGACCCGGAGAAAATCCACGAAGTTGGACAGGCGACCCTACTCCTTGTCACGTACAACCGGAGAATCGAAACCACGCCAGTTGACTCAATGACAGACCTAATGATACAACGCGCGCATGCTAACCATTTGGCCATCCAACCCTACAAACTGAGAAGAATTATGATACAACTAATCAAGGATTTAAATAATATATAACTTTATTTTCTTACATAAAAATGATTGATGAAAAAATCTGTTGATTCATGTATATTATTAATACCACAAAACCGATACAAAAAATACAATTATACAAAACATACATCAATATACAATTAACATACAACATACCCTTACTATTCATTTATACAGTATCATTAAATAATATATGATTAGTTATTTACATAAAAATTAGAAATAGAAATTGAGATTGTAATCAGAATAGAGAGAGAGAGAGAGAGAGAAATGAGGTTTAACGGCCATTGGACAAAACTAGGTCATTTCGGGACTAACACATGGTTCAATTTTATTTCAATAATTCGCTTGCGCGTAGGGGGTAATCAGATGACGTTACATGTTAACACTTTTAGACCAACAACTTCAGTTCATCATGAAGTAAGACAAAGACAACACTGAATTGTTTGTAAAAAATTAACTCAAATCCACCATATCTTCCTTCAATTATTTTTAAATTAAATATTTAATATTGCTACTGCCCAAAATATTTGGATATTGTATATGCACATATTACCTTGTTAATGATCAATTTTGTGTCATACACCCCACGATAATTTTACCCCTGTATTACCAAAAGGGCACATACATGTATCATAATGACAATCCATCCCCAGTGGTATCGTTCTGTTCTACTCTACTAAGCCCTGGGTCCATTCACAGGGTTTTCACGAATTCAAATTATCTGCCCTTGATTGTAGGCTGATTCTATGAACCAATCAAAAAATAGTTTACATACCAGTTTTAGTTTCATTGTTTACGTTCACCACAATAACATACGGTTCAATTTTATTTCAATAATTGGGTTGCGTGTAGGGGTCTTTAGCAGTGAGAGGAAACCAGAGGACCCGGAGAAAAGCCACAAGGTTGGACAGGCGACCCTGTCACGTACAACCGGGGAATAGAAACCACGCCAATTGACTCAATGACAGACCTTATGATGCAGCATTCAAGCATCCCTCTCCCCCCTATATAAGTTTAAACATCCCTATTTCGTATATACATTCAGTTAGGTTTGGTGTAAAATGCCCTGTGAAGTCGACTGTCCATGCTAAAGTGACCTAATGATCGCAAACCAATGTTTTGGACCAATGAAGTTCTAGGATTAAGATAAAAACCAAGAGGTCTTTCTTAGGACTAAGGTCTTGCTATTACATTTTAAACAAATTTGAATTTAGTTTTGAGGAAAGATATATATATATATATACATACACAAAACATTTCTTTGATTTAGGAATCATCTTGAATGAGAAGTAAAACTATTTTGTAGATTTAAAATACATCTCATAATAATAAATAACAGAAGTACTAATAAACAATTACATAAAAATAAATAAACAAATAAATGCCCAAGTCATGCAGATGTTAATCATATCACATGAAAAAAAATAAATTGTTTTTTAAATCTTAGAAATAAGATTATTCACACTTCTACCACACGTAATCATTCAATAGTAAAATTCAATTTTTTGTTTGAAATCAGATCTTACATTATAAAAGTCAAATATAATACAGATCTATATTTCGTTTCCTTTTTTTTTATACTTTTGATTGCCTACACTACATGAAGATTTGACCGGTTGTAGTGGGAGGTCGAGTCAGGGGTCGCATGAGCGGCTTTTGACCCTATGACATCAGCCATTGATTAATCACCAGCATTGATGTTTCTAGTGGTTTACCCACAGTTCCGTGCATCGCATGCTAAGAAGTCGGCGTAACAGATGGTTTCATTGGCTAATCCCTCATGCCATCCAGAACGCAGGCTACATAACAACTCTTCAAGATACTAGTGTAGTAAAGATAAGTAAAACGAAATTTTGAAGTATAAAAAAACGAAACGAAATAGGATCTGTGTTTTAATCAGATTGATATCTAGAACACCTGATAACACTTCTCCTTTATTTGAGAAGTTCACATAGCTAACACTTTTTATCGTGCTTTTGTTTTGTTAACTAACAAGACTTTCAGCTTATTATTAGAAGTGTAAACATAAAATCTGCTCCTACAAATTTGGTTTAAAAAAAATCACGATTTACAGTTTAAATTTTACACCTGAGAGTAATCTTAATTTTTTTTACCTTTTATCATCAATAATTTGCGTCTTTATACCCATCAGGAAATTGTTTAAACAGCTGTCTTGTTAATATCTAGAAAATGACTTAGATTCACGTATAATTTAAGTACGGGTACATACACCAGAAAATATCAGGGGCCTGTTTCACGAAATTTTAACTAAGATAAAATACAAACTTTAGTAATTTGATTGGATAATATTAGATTGATTTCAGTGCTTAGCCAATCAAAATTGAAGTATCTACTAAAATTTGGATTTTATCTTTAGTTAAGATTTCGAGAAACAGGGCCCAGATGACTTACTGATATTTCTGTTTACATAAGTACACAATAAGCAATCTACATCAATTAAATTTTGGTATTGGTGGTTCAGTCTTAAAGATACATTATGGGAGATTAGATAAAGAGCTAGATAAAAACTAGACAATGTAAAGGCAATTTGCTGAAAATTTCAGTCAAATTGATCCACTCTGAACCAAGAATTTAGCGATTGAATTTTTGGCCTAGCCTTGATCATAATTACTAATGTCGTTACGATAGTTTCGATTATCCATTTTTTGATTTAATCATCAATGAGCGTTGAGCAGCAGATCGAATTCTAATCCAGTCAATATCGCAGACTAGCGATGACATCGAGAGTTGATTATGGTCTGGACAAGTTAATTAATGTCTAATTAATAATTTAGATAACATTTCAGGCCTAAAAAAAGACCAGCAATAGACAGATTTAGCTCTTGTATAATCTATGTTTAAATACATGTCTTAAATAATTTTATGTCATTCATTCATTAATTTATCTGTCAATCAGTGCTATATATTACGCAATGTCTTGCATGAGACCTTTAAACACCATCCAGCGCATGCATTTCACTGAAATATACGTCACACGGGTCCAATATTACAACTAGTATAAATAATGTACGCCTGGCACATTGCCCATACCATTGTTTGAAATAATGGTACGCCAACATCAAAGGGTGACGTCACATCTGTATTTTAAAAAATATGTTATCAATCGCTCCGAGATATTCAACACAAACATCAATGTGCATAAAAAATAGTCCCACATATCAATTCATCGTATCAGTCACCAGATATGAGAATCGTTAGATGGCATTTTAACGACACCAACACCTCCTCCTAAACGTCTATAGTTCATTCCTCCCACAATCCTCCAGCAGTTTCCTTCAGGATCGTAAACTTCTACTGTTTTAAGGTAAGTTGTTCCATCAAAACCACCGATTGCCATTAACTGTCCATTTACTACAGCCAGTCCCACCTAAAAAATATTCATTATATAAACGTTTTTAGATATTTAACTGCAAATCTTACAAGTATGTCTTCATTGGCATGCAGAGAGGAGGCAAAATGTGTTGAAATTTGAAATTAATGTACAAGCCGCCCTACTTAATTGGAATAAAAGTGGTTTTTTTCATTGGTTTTGATATTCAAAAGGCCCTATAGGCCTATTTAAGTCTTGGGGACATTCAACCAAGCAGTACATGTAGGCCCAAGGCATCACCAAAACTGTGTGTCTTTACGTTTATGCTACAACACAAGATAGCATATATTTCAAGTAGATCGAATAAAGAACTTTGCCACTAAAGTGCACAAAAAGATGAAGGGCAATAACTCTGGAAGTTACGATCAGAAATCTCTGATGATATTACATTGGCAACTTCATCTGATGTTAACAATGCAAAATTCTGTTTAACCATACATAAACCAGATAATCCACATCATGGCCGAATCGCCATATCTAATATATTCAAATATGTTTTTATTGGCCGTACGTTTCTGTGTAGCTGAGTGAGTATAGTGTAGATCCGATGTACTTGTCAGTGGGTGTGGCAAGGAATAAGTGTACTTGTCAGTGGGTGTGGCAAGGAATAAGTGTACTTGTCAGTGGGTGTGGCAAGGAATAAGTGTACTTGTCAGTGGGTGTGGCAAGGAATAAGTGTACTTGTCAGTGGGTGTGGCAAGGAATAAGTGTACTTGTCAGTGGGTGTGGCAAGGAATAAGTGTACTTGTCAGTGGGTGTGGCAAGGAATAAGTGTACTTGTCAGTGGGTGTGGCAAGGAATAAGTGTGCTTGTCAGTGGGTGTGGCAAGGAATAAGTGTGCTTGTCAGTGGGTGTGGCAAGGAATAAGTGTACTTGTCAGTGGGTGTGGCATGGAATAAGTGTACTTGTCAGTGGGTGTGGCAAGGAATAAGTGTACTTGTTAGTGGGTGTGGCAAGGAATAAGTGACTAGTTGTTGGGATGGTGTGAAAAAAATAAAAGGTCAGGTTTATGTATCAAACCAAAGAATTTAACCATAGAGATGGAACAATGGTGAAGGAGAGACAGCAATATATGACACAATTACTGTAAGAGAGATAGAGAGAGAAAGAAATGGGGTTTACTGTCCACTCGACACAAACTAGGTCACTTCGGGACTAACATTTGGATCAATTTTACTTCAATAATTCGCTTGTGCGTAGGGATCTTTAGCAGTGGGAGGAAACCGGAGGACTCGGAGAAAATCCACAAGGTTGGACAGACGACCCTAGGTACTCCTTGTCGCGTACAACTGTGGAATCGATACCACACCAGTTGACTTGATGACAGGCCTTATGATACATGGCGCACGTGCTAACCATTCAGCCATCCACCCCATCCCCCCACTAACTAGGAAGTCCTGGGGTTGATCCGGTGTTGGACCCAGGGAAAACCCACGAGGTTGGACAGACGACCCTACTCCTTGTCACATACAACCGGAGAATCGAAACCACACCAGTTGACTCAATGACACACCTTATGATACAGTGTGCATATGCTAACCATTCGGCCATCCACCCCACCCCACCCACTAACTAGGAAGTCCTGGGGTTGATCCGGTGTTGGACCCAGAGAAAACCCACGAGGTTGGACAGACGACCCTACTCCTTGTCACATACAACCGGGGAATCGAAACCACACCAGTTGACTCAATGACAGACCTTATGATACAGCGCGCACATGCTAACCATTCGGCCATCCCCCCACCCCCACAACATTACTGTAATACTATAGATTACTTACACCACTTCTTCTGGATGTCATGGCTACAACAGGTTGCCACATGTTAGTCTGAGGATTGTATCTTTCTGCACTAGAGAGCTCTGTTGTATCATCACGACCACCAACTGCGTAGATCATGTTATTAAACACAGCCACGCCCAGATGTTTCCGCCTCGTTCCCATGGATGCTACTGGATTCCAACGATTACCTCTTGGATCGTATCGTTCAACTATGAAAACAAATTAATATCACATTGTAGAGAAATTTTGTTTAAATAATTTAAAATAAAATAAAAATAGTATACATACAAGGTTTTCACTATAGTGTTCTACTCTGAACAGTGAGCTATGAAGGAAATTTTGCCTGGACAGTGGCACTACATGTACAGCCTACTCTTATATCAAATTCCAAATGCCAAGGGACCTTTTATGTGCATGCCAATGTGTACACAGGACCTTGGGTTTTTGTCCCATCCGAACGACTACATGTTGTCCCTTGCCAGGCTCTCTGTCTTGCACCACTGACAAGGAGGAACCACGCTGTAAAATCCTAATGACCTTTCTCAGTCAATGCCAGGACCGAACACGCGACCTCAAGGCTAGCGAGTCAGCGTCTTACTCACTTGGCCACCATGGCTCCCAGAACAACGAACCTCAAATGAAAATAGTATACCTTCACTATAGTGTGATTCACTGTAAGCTATAAACAAGTATTATAGGGAAGAATTTTGTCAGTAGTGGAATATCTTAGTCCAACCTGATTAAAACACATTCGTTTTTCTTGCATGTACTCCTCTAGGATCTGGAAGAGTTGTTATATAACCAGCGTTCTGGATGATGTGAGGGATTAGCCAAGGGGAGAGAGAGAAAAATTAGGTTTAAGGTCCACTCGACACAAACTAGGTCATTTCGGATCTAACATATGGTTCAATTTTATTTCCATAATTCGCTTGAGCGTAGGGGTCTTTAGCAGTGGGAGGAAACGGGAGGACCCAGAGAAAACCCACGAGGTTGGACAGGCGACCGCACTCCTTGTCACGTACAATCAGGGAATCGAAACCCCGCTAGTTGACTCAATGACAGACCGTATGATACAGCGCGCGGATTAGCCAAGGAAACAATCTATAGTTTTTGGCGTGAGGTGCAAAGAACTCTGGATAAACCACTAGGAACGTCAACGCTGATCGATTAATCAATATCTGACGCCATAGGCTCAAAAGCCGCTCATATGAACCCTGATGCAACCTCCCACTACAACCGGTCAGCTTTTCATGTAGTGTAGGCCATCGAAAGTACAAAAAACAATGATATGTATATATATTTAATGATATTGGTATGTATCTTACCTGTGTTAAGAGGACATGTACCATCACTCCCTCCCACAGCATAGAGTGATCCCCCTAATACTGCCACACCCACTCCTAATCTTCTTGTACTCATTGATGTTACTTTATTCCATTTATTAGTCTGAGGATCATACCTGGTAAAAACAAATAGATGTAGAAGATAAAGTCCCAACATGTCAGATTTTAATATCATACACAATCAAAAGTATTTTTATTTCAAAAATCCAGATATAAACATAATTCAAAGCGATTAATCCTAACTCTAAGATACATTATGTAAGATTATCTCCTACGATATATCAGATAAAGTCAAAGTTCATAATGTGGGATCCAGGATCAATCGGTGTGTTTGAGTTCCCACAGACCACTTTGACACCCACCCACCAGCTTAAAATGGATTCCCCTTGTCAGTGTTGCAGAACGGAGGGCCTGATAAGAACAGCTGTCTAGTCGTTTGGATGGGACAAAAAAACGAGGTCCCGGGTATACATTAATTAGCGTGCACGTAAAAGATCCTTTGGCAGTTGGAATTCGATAAATTTCCCTCATAGCACAATATATGGCATATGCCCGTCTTCATTAGCCTAGCTCGGAGCAGAACAGTAGGACGTTAAACCCTATTTCATTTCATTTCCAGCTTAAAACGGAAATAAGCATCAACAGGCCTGGGGCCTGTTTCACAAAATTTTAACTAAGATAAAATCCAAATATTAGTAATTTGATTGGATAATATTAGATTGATTTTAGTGCTTAGCCAATAAAAATTGAAGCATCAAGATTTCGTGAAACAGGATCCAGGTTATGCCTACTCCATAGTTGATACTCAAACAACTTACCTCTCAACATAATTTAAACAAGAGACGCCATCTTGTCCTCCGACAGCGTATAGATAATCACCTAATACAGCTACACCAACACTAGTACGACACGAACTAGTTGGTGCTACATCACTACTCCATTGATTGGTATGAGGATCATATCTATTAACAAACAATAAAATCAATCAATAATAAAATATTGATCTTTAACACACTCATTAAAATACAGATCTATATTTTGTTTTGGTTTTTTATAATCTCGATGGCCTACACTACATGAAAATCTGACCGGTTGTACTGATAGGTCGCGTCAGAGGTCATATGAGCAGCTATTGACCCTATGACGTCAGACATTTGATGTTTTTAGTGGATTACCCACAGTTCTGGGCACCACACGCCAAAAGCTTGCTGTAACAGACTGTTTCATTGCCTAAACTCTTACATCATCCAGAACATGTCAATGATAACAACTCTTCCAGATCCTAGTGTAGTAAAATCAAGTAAAACCAAATTTTGAACTATAAAAAAAAAACCGAAATAGGATCAGATTGTTTTTTTATAGTTCAAAATTTCATTTTACTTGTCTTTACTACACTAGGATATGAAAGAGCAGTTGCATTTTGGATGATGTGAGGGATTAGCCAATCAAACGGTCTGTTACGGCGAATGTTTGGGGTAAGGTGCAAAGGAACTTTGGGAAAACCACTAGAAATGTCAATGATGATTGGTTAATCAATATCTGACATCATAAGGTCAAAAGCCGCTCGTATCAAGGATTATTATTATTATCATTATTCATACACTTATTAAAACGGCTGATTATCAATTGAGAGCATTGGGTAAAATCCTTTAATGCGTATTTTCTTAATACGACTCAATCCAAGCACAGGGATTATCTACTGTTGATATTTTGGTTTTGTTCTCGTGATGAAATGTAAAAATTGTAATCTGTGTACATTAAGCTATGAAAAATTAGATTTTGTCTGGAAAATGCACTGTGTGGCACGAACTGTTAGCTACTTTGGTCCTTTAAGACCTCAGTGTATCTTTAACTCATTATTGGTTAACACTTTCTATAGAGTCAAGTCCACTTACTAATGAAAGTAAATGACATGTTTATATATAAAAAGACAGTGATTTTTGGTAAAATCCTTACCATTGTCAAAATATCCATCAAATTCTATCAGTTTATGACGTGCCTGGTAGATCAAGGAAATTAACGCCAAGGTCAGTCAATAACGTACAGAAATAAGTGGGTTATAAAAGAGGATGTTGGGCGAAATTTATCAGAGCTCACCCAGAAATTCCGAGCAGCTATCATCCATACTTTATTGAGAATGAGGGACACCGAAGCCAAACAGTTTAACAATAAAGTTATAGAAACCAACTAACCTGTAGTTTTATTATGATCAAGAAGGAAACACAACAATGAGAGAGAGAAAGAGAGGGAGAGAGAGAGATGGGGTTTAATGTCCACTCGACACAAACCAGGTCATTTCGGGACTAACATATGGTTCAATTTTATTTCCATAACTCGTTTGCGTGTAGGAGTCTTTAGCAGTGGGAGGAAACTGGAGGACCCGGGAAAACCCACGAAGTTGGACAGGCGACCTTTATCCTTGTCACGTACAACCGGGGATTCGAAACCACGCCAGTTGACTCAATGACAGACTTTATGATACAGCACACACGTGTTAACCATTCAGCCATCCAACCCCACAGACAACAAATGATAAATACTACTAGTACCTTTCTATACTGTTAAGATAAGACTGTCCATCATGACCTCCTACAGCATATAATAAATCATTTAATACAGCCACGCCTACACCACATCTTCTTTTACTCATAGGAGCTACAAGTCTCCATTCATTGGCTTGAGGATCGTATTTCTCTACACTAGATATAGCATCACCACTACACCAACCACCAACTGTAATATACAATGTATATATAAATCTTCAACTAATTGACACATGTACCTTGATTGCATCGACTAACCATGAGTGTTCAAATATTCTATAGACCAGAGATGAACTTCCGATGTATGTGCTAAATGTGGTGCAATGCATGATTGTAAGTGGCGCAGTGGATGATTATAAGTGGCGCATTCAATGATTATAAGTGGCTTTTAAGTGGCGTATTGGAGAGAGAGAGAGAGAGAGAGAGAGAGAGAGAGATCGACAAAAAACTAGGTCATTTCGGTACTAACATATGGGTTTAATTTTATTTCAATAATTCGCTTGCGCGTAGGTGTCTTTAGTAGTGGGAGGAACCGGAGGACCCAGAGAAAACCCACGAGGTTGGACAGGCGACCCCACTCCTTGTCACGTACAACCAGGGATTCGCAACCACGCCAGTTGACTCAATGACAGGCTTTAAGATACAGCGCGCACGTGCTAACCATTCGGCCATCCAACCCAACCCACCCACCCCCACCCCCGTGGCATATTGGACGATTATAAGTGGTGCAGACTGATTATAAGTGGGGCATTGGCTGATTATACCTGGCGAATTGGATGATTATAAATGTTGCATTGCCATATTATAAGTGGCACATTGCATCTCTGTGATAATAACAATTTAAGGAAGTAATATTATTTTCCACAATTTATTTTATGCACATCCTTTTTAGCGATGGTTATCTACTACTACAATGTAAGAACGATAGGGTCCTAGTTGTTTTTTTTCCAGGTTCCCCCCATTGCTAAAGACCCCTAGCTGCAAAATGGCCTAGTTTGTGTCAAGTGGACGTTAAACCCCATTTCTCTCTCTCTAATATGACAGTATTACCTACATGCAGTACAAAACTTAAAGGTATCAGGTTTTAACATTTTTATTTCAATGTTTATCTGTGCAAGGTGAGTGGGGGAATTTTGCCGAGACAGTGGCATTTTGTTATACTCTTCATTAAATGCTGATTACCTCAGGTTCTTGTACTTGAATACTAATTTGTAATCAGCACCTCTTGTATGTAATGAAATGAAATGGGGTTCTACTGTTCTGCATCATCTGGGCTAATGAAGATGGACATACAGTCTGCTATGAGGGAAATTTTGCCCTGGCAGCGGCACTATAGGCTATTCACATTGAATTCCAACTGACAGGGGATCTTTACATGCACACCAATGTATACACGACACCTTGGTTTTTCATACTATCTGAATAACTAGACAGCTGTCCCTTGCAGGGGGATCACGTGGCTAAGTGGGTAAGACGCTAGCTCGCTAGCCTGGAGGTCGGGTGTTCGATCCCTGCATTGGCCGAGAAGGTTCATCCAGATTTTCCGGCGTGGTTCTCCCTTGTCAGTGATGCAGGACGGAGGGGCTGACAAGGAAAGCTGTCTAGTCGTTCGGATGGGACGAAAAACCGAGGTCCCGTGTACACATTGGCGTGCACGTAAAAGATCCCTTGGCAGTTGGCAAAATTTCCCTCATAGCACACTGTATGGCGTATGCTAGTCTTCATTAGCCCAGGTTAGGAGCAGAACAGTAGGACGTTAAACCCCATTTCATTTCATTTCATTTCATGTCCCTTTCAGGCCCTCCATCCTGCACCACTGACAAGGGGAAACTATGACGGAAAATCCTGATGAACTTTCTCGGCCAATGCAGGGATCGAATCAGCGACCTCCAGGCTAGCGAGTCAGTGTCTTACCCTCCGTAGCTCCTACCCTTTGTACGAATAGTTCAACAATTCAACGTGACAACAAACCTGCAAATAAAACTTCTCCACATTTTATTGGTTTTCGTGGTCTGGTTCGCGGACCCTGCATTAAGGGTCGCTCTTGAGGCAAGAGAAGATAGTTTTTGGCTTCATCTACTAAATCACGACATGCTTCATCACTTTTGATTAAGAGATCTGACCCCACAGTTCCCACTAGAAATTTGGCACTCATTCTCGGCAATCGAACATGTTGTAGTACCTACAAAATAAAATTATAAAAATCTCAATATTTCATAAAAGATCTATGTGTATAACGACTTTTTAAAATGGGTGTAAAAATATTTCTCAAGTAGTTCTGAAGAAAATCCCTAAATATTTGCGCTACAATATCAATAAATATGTTCCTGTTGTAGTACCTACAAAATAAAATTATAAAAATCTCAATATTTCATAAAAGATCTACATGTATGTGTATAACGACTTTTTAAAATGGGTGTATAAATATTTCTTAAGTAGTTCTGAAGAAAATCCCTAAATATTTGCGCTACAATATCAATAAATATGTTCCTGTTTCAAATTTATGGTTAAATGGACAATAAATGGTCTCTAAATTCGAAACAGGAAGTGTTTTTATATGTATTTCCTAATTGAATACTAGTTGAATTCATTACCGAGAAGTAATCATTTACATTCATAGTAAATATTTCATAGGAGACGAGGAACAGATCAATTTCCATTAGTTTTAAAAATAAATACTAGTTGAATTCATTCAGTAAACATTTGATTTTAATAGTATGTATCTCCCAGGAGACAAGAAATAATGAATACTAAAAAATCAGTTGAAATAGCCTTCCAAAACCTCTGAATTCAATTATTTGTGTGACTGTGAGCTCTACATGAACTCTGTTGGGCAACTCTGGATAAGATTCATCAAGTGCTAAAATAAAATAAAACTTCTACAATCAAGCTCACCAACTGTTATTTTACTATAATGAATTCACAGAGAGAGAGAAGGAGAGAAAGAGATTAGGTTTAATATCCAGTTGACAAAAATTAGGTCATTTTGGGACTAACACGTAGTTCAATTTCATTTCAATAATTCGCTTGCATGTAGGGGTAATTTAGCAATGGGAGGAAACCGGAGGACCCGTAGAAAACCCACGAGGTTGGACAGGCGCCCTACTCCTTGTCACGTACAATCGGAGAATCAAAACCACGCCAGTTGACTCAATGACAGACCTTATGAAACAGCATGCACGTGCTAACCCTTATTCGGCCATCCATCTCCCCACCCCCTACTAAAATAAAATAAAACTTTTACAATCAAGCTCACCAACTATTATTCTGCTATAATGAATTCAATATCTATATTAAACTATAAATAAATCTACTTACAGTTGGTAAATGTTGTCGCCTTTCTTGTATACTATATTTAACCCAGCCCATAACAGCCTGGTAAACCTGTTCTTCAGATCTTACATTTAATTCATCACTGGATATTATTTCTACTAATTGATTGACAGGTAACAATAAAAATTCTTCGGATTCCATAACCTGAAATTTTAGTAGAATGAAACCTACATGTACTATAGATGATAGTGACATTAAACTCATTTTAGTGGATTGAAACCTACCATATATATAGATGACATTAAACTCATTTGGGTACAATTTTAGTGAAGGTGGCCATAAAACAAATTAAAGATACAATATGGGAGATTAGATAACGAGTTGGCAGTTCTCACTATAATAGTTAAAAACTAGATAATGTAAAGGAAATTTGCTGAAAGACCTGAAATAGGCTGATTTACCTCTTGCATAATGTACATGTACATGTATGTTTAAGAATTACTTAAAATGTCACCCACTCTCCAAAATATAATACATGTGGGACTAATATATTTAACACAAATTTTATAGATAGCTTTGATATAATAAACAAATATCAAAGCACTGATGATACTAGCAATGAGTGTTTGAAATCTGAGTAACAATTGAGTCAGCACTGGATCCAGGATGACTAACATGTAATATAATATCTTGACAATTTCATGAGCCAAGATATGCACAGCAATGTAAATATGGGTAGACCTCCATTTTCTGACCTACATGTATCTGAAAGAATAGGTGCCACTGCCCAAACTTCCTCCCCCCCCACCCCCAAACACACACACCCAGCAACCCACAAGGGCTAGACATGAAAAATTCTGCAGTCAGTTAAAATTATTCCCACCCAGGACATTCTAGTAGAGGGACCAGTGACCCCTACATATCTATGAGAGAGGGAGAGAGAGAGAGATGGGATGTAATGTCCACTTGACACAAACCACCGTGACCTCTACATATACATGTATGTGAGAGAGAGTGAGAGAGAGAGATGGTATGTAACAACCACTCGACACAAACTTGGTCATTTCAGGACTTACAATGTCTCAATTTTACTTCAATAATTTGCTTGCGCGTAGGGGTCTTTAGCAGTAGGTGGAAACCGGAGGAACTGGAGAAAACCCATGAGGTTGGACAGACCACTCTAGTCCTTGTCACGTACAACCGGGGAATCAAAACCATGCCAGTTGACTCAATGACAGGCCTTATGATACAACGCGCGTGCTAACCATTCGGCCATCCAACCCACCACATACATGTATATGTGAAATACACCTAGAAATTTTATCTACAATACAGTATCACTGACATATTATGAATTAACAACAATACTTACATCTTGGAAGTTATTTTGTGTAAATTTATCAGCTATTCTCAATAAATCTCTACAAGCATGAGTATCAGCAAAAGCACGGATACCCAGACAATTGGAAGGGTCGAGTTGCCGTCTCAAAAACTCACAGCAAACTTCTTGTATTTCCACCAGCTGTAATAAACATGCTGCTGGCAATAATGTCTGAACGTTACTTTCTTCCACAGTTATGTTGGAAGTGTAACAAAAGTCTATTAATAATTCCATGGCATTTTCGTCGATGTCACGTATCGGCACCTCAGTCTGTCGACTTTCTGCCAATTCACAAGTAAACATGGCGTGAAAATAAGGACTACATGCTGAAAGGATAACGCGATGGGCAAATATCTTTTTTACACCAACAATTAAAACAACATCACAAAGTTCTCGGTTTTTACGTAATAGATTTATAGCTTCGAAAGTTTGTCTTGGATGTTTATCTGATGTGTAAGCCAATCGAGCTGTTGATGGTGGATGCTCCATGTTAGACTCAAATCGGCTCATTTTTTGGCGCATGAACCACAATTCTCTATTATTTCTTCATACTGAAATGGTAAGATAACAACAATTATTAAGTTAATCAATGTAATGGATTCCTGTACATGTATTATAGTATAGTGTGGTTCATGGATTCCTGTCTATGTATGGTATTATAGTTATAGTTAGGCTGTGCTTCATAACTCCATGCTGTAGATTTCATCTCAAAAAAAAAAGAGAGAGAGACAGAGAGAGAGATAGGGTTTAACGTCCACTTGACACAAACTAAGTCACTTCAGGACTAACATATGGTTCAATTTTACTTCAATAATTCGCTTGCACATATAGAGGTTTTAACCAGTGGGAGGAAACCAGAGGACCCGGAGAAAACCCATGAGGTTGAACAGACGACACTACTCCTTGTCACAAACAACTGGGGAATCAAAACCTTGCCAGATGACTCAATGACAGACCTAATGATACAGCGTGCACGTGTTAACCATTCGTCCATCCAACCGCCCTGATCTCAATGAAAGAACAAACATCTAGATAGGATTCATTACATCTACTGCCATTATTATTACAATCACAAATAGGTTTAATGTACGATCTTGCCTATTTTCAAGATGTACAGATGTTAACCCAATGGCAATGCAACTCACTATGAGAGCTGCTGTGAGCATCGCTGATAGTCATCATTCATTGGCTATAGGTGGTCTGATGACATACTCGTAATGGCAGCCAAAATCTGCTCTCAAAGTGAGCTGCCTTGGATTACCACCCGTACATGTACATCCTTAAAACGGCAAGACTTTACATCATCTTAGCATATATAAAATGTAAGAACAAGCATTTATTGGCTAGGCTATCGATATATGACGGCATGTAGGGACTTAGATGTGTCATACATGTAGGCCATCAACATTGAGAAATATGATGGTTCCGAATGGGAGGTATTTCTAAATGGGATTAAGCATTATTAGGCCTAGCCTAGGGACTCAAATGTTTTAGCACTAATAGTATTTACTATTAATGGACTAAATAATTAGCCTACCTACATTTACTGTACATTACACCAGAGAGAGAGAGGGCTACATTATTGAATTATAGAAGAAAAGCCTTTTTATCAGTGTTATTTTGACACAACGACAATGAGCTACACACAAAAGAGTCCAAGAATAGATGATTGAGTCATTATCATGATTGTTATGTCTAAACATGTAGGTCTAGAGTATTAAGCCCTGATTAATAAAGAAGGAAGTCAACAATTACACAGTTTACACAGCAATAATCGAGGGCAGGAGTCATAAAATTGCTTCAAAAGTCAAATATCAATTAAACATGGGACTTTCATTTCAGATTTCTTAATCTGTATTCATACTTACATCTCATTACATGATATAAAATCGTAAAAAAGAGCAGATTACTGCACAAATTCCTTAAATGGGTCGAAAAGCGAAGACGGTTCTACGAAATAAATAAGTGGAATTCAGAAAACCCCCTTGATGACTTCCGGTTGCGAAACCGATTGATAAAATTTACTACCCGAATTGAGAACGAAACGAAAGATAATATTTATACTAGTATTACTAATTTGTCAATTTTACAGTAAGGTTTTAAGATATCCAATACGAAATGCTGATTATTTCTCAGCAAAAACCGAGACGAAACTTAATATACAATTCTCTAATAGTAAAATTTCGAGAAATATAGTTACCTCCCCTAGACCAAAATATTCAGAAGGAAAGGTACAATTATTAATAATACTGACCAATCAGCTAAGATATTACACATACTGTGACGTCATTTGTTGGGGAGTAACGGGGATTCCTATGTTGACATTTTGTGATACCGCTTCAAAACGTACACAGGTTTTAGAGAAATATAAGTTTCTGTGTTAAAATGACCTTACCCGAGGCTGAAAATCTAGAAGAGGTGAAGCAACCCGAAGTTTTGCTGCCAAATACAAATATTGTAACCCACTGTGTGTTAAAAAATGATGTTGCACGCCTGGTCAAATGTTTTGAAGATGAGGAAGACGAATTTAAAGAAGGAGTTGAAACTTTGCTTAATGTGAGAAATGAAGAAGGGAAATCACCTTTAGATTTAGCTGCAATGCTAGGGAGGATTGACATTACCAGAGAACTCCTACAAAGGGGAGCAGATGTAGCCAATAATTCTAACAAAGGTGGGTAAATAAATTTAACGTAGAGTGACCTGTCAGGTGGCTGTGATTCTCCTATTCCGGCGAATTGCGAACGCCAGAAAATAGGGATAATGCGACTTGATGATCTGGATTCCTTTATATCTCACATTTTTTTAATTCTGCTGTAAAAATTAGAACTACAGGTACCAGAAAATTCACCACGAAACGAAGAAATGCCATGTGCTGATAATACGAGAAAGCGTATATTTTAAATGCCATTTAAAGACAGTTCTTCTATTCACTTAATTCATTGAATATTCTCTTTTATGTGTTAATAATTCTACGCTGATAAAATAATTATTATTTACAGTTTTTCGACCAAAATCAGATTTCAAGATAATTTAATCGCTGAGTTCTCTCCTAATTAACTTAAAGGGACTATCCCGATTTCAAAAGAGTCTCAGAAATAAAAGTCGGAGTACGTATGAAATTTAAGCGCCAAAATATAGAGGAATGGTGTATTTACCTTCTCTCAAAATTCCAGCTCAAAATATTGAGTCGTTTGGACGTGAACGTCAAAACTGCTTATCCGGACACGTAACCCTTTTAAGATTTCGAGTCAGTTTTTTCATTGGGTGACCTGATAATCGATTCCCGTTACTTGAGAGGTCTATGTAGTGAATGACCCATATGCTCTACTTGATAACGAAAGGTAAATTTCACCTACACATTGTTATTATAAAATAAAAGTCTAGTTTTATGCAGACACCGCATGCAGCTTGGGGCACCTGTCTCCATTTCCAGATGAAGACTGGGGGGTTTAAGTTGTTTGAAAACGTATCACAAATATTGAGTTAGTTTCTCCGCCCTTAGCTAGAGGAATTTAAGGGATTTTAACACAAAATTAATCAGTTTTATTCTGCAAAAAATATCGGGATTAGCCCTTTAAATATGAATGGGTCTATTAATAAATCTACGCTGATAAAATAATAAGTACAGCCCCATGTTCATTAGCCCAGTTGAAGCAGAACAGTAGGACATTGATGAATATTCATTTTTATTTTAGGGTTTTCTCCAATACATTATGCAGCAGCCTGGGGTAGAATTGGTGTACTGAAGACTTTAGTAGAGTTTCAAGTTAATCTTCAACAGAAAAACAGTCATGGGGAAAGGGCTAGAGAAACTGCTTTACGCTATAATCAGACAGAATGTATGGATTACCTAGACTGGGCTGGTAGGTAGATCAAATTTGATGTCACTTCTCACTTTATAATTTTCTTTTTTAAGTTATATCAAATTCCTTTCCATTCTTGTCCTCTTTCTTGGAATCGCTCTTAAGTAGCTCCCACGTTTCAAGTATAAATATGAAGTAGCAAACCGCACCAGAAATCCCAAAGAGCTATTTCGGCTGCTCTCCTCAATTTAAAGAAATTAAAAACTGCTGTTATCTGGCTAAATCTATTTGTTAAGGCCAGCTCAATTTTCATCAAGGTCGCTGAGATGTAAATAAGGTTAGGGCACGTGATTGTTGGCGAGATTGCAGGTTAGGGTCAGGGTAAGCATTGGGGTTAGCGTTAAGGTTGGGATTGGCGCCTGTTCACGTCCCGTGACCTTCGACCAAACTTGAAAGTTGGTCTTATCAAATAGACCTAACCGCTGTTATCTCCAACTACACTACCTGTCCCCAAGATAGGTTTTCTCCGGGTCCTGCGGCATCCTCCCAATGCTAAAGACCCCTACGTGCAAATGAATTATTGAAAAAAAAATTGAACCTCGTGTTAGTCCCGAAATGACCTGGTTTGTGTCAAGTGGATTCTCTCTCTCTCTCTCACTCCTCTCTCTCTCATTAAATGCAGATATTATTAATCAAGGAATAACAGAATCAACATTTCTTTCACATATCTCATACTTATCGATCTAGGTTTTTTGTTCTTTAGTTATTATTTGTGTCATCTTCTCTTAGAGCCACAGTGATTAAGTGGGTAAGACGCTGACTCGTTATCCTGGAGGTTGCGTGTTCAATCCCTGCATTGGCTGAGAAAGTTCATCGGGATTTTATGGTGTGGTTCCCCCTTGTCAGTGGGCCTGACAAAGACAGTAGTTGGAATTCGATATAAGAGTAGACTGTTGCATCGCTGTCCGGGCAAAATGTCCCTCATAGCACATTGCATTGCATAGCCCAGTTAGTGCAGAACAGTCGGACATTAAGCCCAATTTCATTTCATTTCATTTTTCAATTTCAGAAGCTAAAGTAAATTTAATTTTATCCATTAAACATATCCAAGAATGGGTGACCGATCCAGAAAGAATACAAGGACGGTTGAATAAAGAGGAAAAGGTAAGATTTTTAAAGTTGTAGGAAACAGAATATACACAACTGGCTAATGGACTTCATTATTTAAGATTCCATTAGTAGGGTGGCCAACAGTGTTAAAAATGAGATCTAATTGAAGTAGAACATAGGTGAATGAATGGTCAACCTTAAATAACAATCGACCATCTTCTAAAGCACGGTTGGTGCAGAAAAGTAGGATGTTAAACCCCATTTCATTTCGTTTTGTTAATCATGTTCCTATGTTTTGGTAACAGATGTTAAAGAATACCGCTATACATTAAAATACGATATTCTCCATAACAAATTACCAAGGATTATTTTTGTTGAAGTCTAATTATATTAAAGGGAATATAAGCTTATAATTAACCCGTTTTTTACGGGACCTCATTTGACCGAATTGTGGCAGGTTCGTTTCAAAACGGATTAAGAGCCCTGGTTAAAGCCCATTTCATTCATTTATTTAAATGACAATTTCGAATGTGTAACTCTGTGCATGTGTGAACTATAGACATCCATTAAACCAGCATTATGTAGGATTAAATAAACAGCTGACAGTTCTCACTAAAATAGTTTTAAAAAATGGATAATGTAATGGGAATATACTGAAAATTTGGTTTCTACAGGGGTCTAATAGCCGCTACTATTCTCTTCTTTCCAACAGGTGTGTGTGGGGTGGTGGGGGGTCGGTCGATGGCTGGCTGTATCATAAGGCCTTTTATTGAGCCAGCTGGTGTGGTTTCGATTCCCCGGTTGTACGTGACAAGGAGTAGGGTTGGTTCGCCTGTCCAGCCTTGTGGGTTTTCTCCAGGACCTCGAGTTTCCTCCCACTGCTAAAGACCCCTACGCGCAAGCATATTATTGAAATAAAAATGAACTATCTGTTAGTTACGAAATGACCTAGTTTGTGTTGAGTGGATGTTAACCCCATTAAACTCTCTCTATTCGGGACAGTTTATTTGTGACTTTAAACTTGAATATGCTGGCTAGTAACCATGAGACAATTGTCCTCTTTCCTTATCCATACTAAGATGCAAATATTTCTAGTCATTGTTTTCCTTATCCAGGTGCCTGACAAGGACGACTGTCTAGTCCTTCGGATGAGATGGAAAACCGAGGTCCTGTGTATACATTGGAATGCATGTAAAAAATCCCTTGGCAGTTGGAATTCGATATAATAGTAGGCGATAGTGCCGCTGCCCGGGCAAAATTTCCCTCATGGCACACTGTATGGTGTATGCCCGTCTTCATTAGCCCAGTATAGGAGCAGAACAGTAGGACGTTAAACCCCATTTCTTTTTATTTCATTTCCTTATCCAGGTCATATTCCAAATTGCATATTTCACTTAGAATTTTTAAATTATTCTGCCAGAGTCACCCATGCAACAACCCACCCTTCAGACTACAAATTCCTGGCGTCGCAATTACTATTATTTGTAAAACTCTAGGTATTTATTGAACAAGGCATTTAGTGTGATCTTATTGTCAAACCAATGGGCGTCCTCGCTGAAAGAATTCCCACCAGGCATCGCTAATAAAAACGTGGTTCCATGAAACCTTTATTGATTATACTTGGAAAATCCTATAGAATCATGCAAATAATTTATATCCGATTCCATTGTTGTCAACCTCATTGAATGATTTTTATGTACTGATAAATATGCTATGAGGAACTCTGATGCCCTTACATCATCAATATTATAATAGTTTTATTCCAGAATCCTCCAGCAACTATTAAAGGGACAATAACACTCTTGCTGGCTTGACAGCTCCAGAAAATAAAAAAATAGCCTTATTCTAAGTACTAGATGTGTTAGTGTCCTACCTGTTGTGTAAATTATCCATTAAATCCTATTTTACTTGTCCAGAGGTTTCAAAAATATTTTTAAATCCAAGTCACATTTTAAAAGCTTTACGTCCGGCTTTTCAAATCATTTAGTTTAATTTTTCCAATTTTTTAAATTAGGTGTGTTAAGATAAAATTTGTATCATCAATTAATTGGAATATTGTAAAATAGTACAATTTGTTGACCAGAATAAAGATTGGGACATATTATTCAGTTACAACAAGAGTGGTATTAAGCCTTTAAGACATTTACTATACTTGAAATAGATTAATCAAACAAAATGTTGTTTTTATATACGCCAACATTTTCATGTGGATGTATATTGTCGTCGCCTCTGTCCGTCCATCTGTCCACAATTTGTTTGTGGACACTCTACAGGTCACAATTTTTATCTGATTTTGACAAAACTTGAAATATAGGTTTATCTCCAAAAGATCTTGGTTCTTTTAGATTATGGCATGCATTGGACCGTAACTTCATGGATTATGGCCCCTGGTCGTATGCAAAGTCAAGTTTATAGCTTGTGGACACCCTAGAGGTCAAAATTTTTATCTGATTTTGATGAAACTTAAAATGTATGTTTATAACCCAAATATCTTGATTCCTTGGGATATTCACACATATCTGACCCTAACTTCCTGGATGATGGCCCCTGATTGTATGAAAAATCTGTTTTTAAATTGTGGTCCCTCTAGAGGTCACAATTTTTATCCGATTCGAAAACCCATTCAAATATTGTTACACCATAATGATGGTTGAGTTCAAATTTTGTGAAAGTCGGACCAAAGCTACCGGACAAAATGGCCACTCCCTGTACGCAAATACCAATAGTGTTAAAGTATATAATATTAAGGTTGTGGACCCTCTAGAGGTCACAATTTTGATCCGATTTTGATGAAACTTAAAACAGGTTTATATTACAAAGATCTCGTTTCCTTTCGATATTCGCGCATATCGGACTGTAACTTCCTGGATTATAACCCCTGGTTGTACAAAAAAAATTGCAAATTTAGCTTGTGGACACTCCAGAAGTCACAATTTTTATCCAATTTTAAAAATTCTTTAAATGTCATCATTTCACCCTGATGATGGTCGAATTCAAATTTTGAGAAAACACAAAACGAAACTGCCCGACAAAATGGCCACTCCTTGCACGCAAATAGACCCTCTAGAGGTCACAATTTTTGTCCGATTTTGATGAAACTTAAAATATATGTTTATATCCCAAAGATCTCAGTTTCTTTCGTGCATTTTAGACCATAACTTACTGGATTATGGGCCTTGATTGTACGATAAATCGCATTTTATTTCTCTTTAGCTTGTTCTCTATCCATCTCTTGCAAAATGTGGACAACCGCTGGTTTTCTTTCCAAGGAGATAATATGGTTTGAATAATAAATTACTTCTGAGACATTAAGTAATAAAGCTTTATTCTTCAAAAGAGGGGGATCATTTCATTTCACTTAAAAAAAGATGTTCATATTAAATATTTAATCTGTTTAAGTTTATGAATTATTGGAGCATATATCCACTCAGGAGGTGGTTGTTGTTTGTTGTTTATGTACTGTAAACAAATGTGAAAGGAGACTTTGGGACTATATATGTCCTATATCCACTTGGGAGGTTGTTGTTTTTTTTATACTGTAAACAAATGAGGTGGAACCCTTCGGGACTATATCTTCGGCCATCCGGTACGAAAGTTCTTAGAGTGTGAATCCATTTGAATTTATGGGCTTTTCTAATGGCATCGTTTATTTTCTGTGTGTTTCCCCCTCTTCATATCTTTATCGTTATGTCCTCCTGGAATTATTGTGTATGATATGGGTAGGCCATTTAGCTGATAGCTAGAATGTTCTGGTTCAAATCCAAACATGGGTAGGTTCAAGGACTGTCAGCATTTTAAGTACTAGTAGTAACTGGCAAGGCATTAATGTAGTACTAGTACTATTCTATCGTTAAACTTCACATTGCCTTCACTACCGTGACTAAAACTATAACTACAGATCAGGTTCTTTTTTTATCTTTTGTTGAATAAAAAATCTTAACGTTAGTCAAAAATTAGCTCATTCTCAAATAAGTATATGGCTGATATGACAAGTGGTGTGAATTCTGCTAAATGCTATCTCCTATCACTCTCTTTTATGGTGCCCACACCCCAATTTGGTCTCCGTCACAGACTGACCACAGTCCTAAATTATGTATTGTTTAATGGTCGCGAGCGAGACATTAAGTAATATATTGTAACAGCATGAGGGCCATGAGGCCTGAGTGTTTTTACAATATATTACGCAATGTCTTAAGCTTGAGACCATTAAACAACTTAAAATACCGACACTTGCACATGCTTTGCAATGAAATACGTCACTCGAGTTCAATATTTTACCAAGTTACGCTTGGCACATTGCCCGTACTCCAACATCAAAGGATGACGTCACATCTGTATTTTAAGAATATGGAATAGGCATACCCCATACCTTGCACTCTGGTAGGGAGGTATTACTAAATTTGGTCAACAGACACATTGCATTCCTGGCCATGAAGATGGCACATGACAGATGTGTTTATAGTATCCACTCGACACAAACTAGGTCCTTTTGCAACTACCATAACATGGTTCAATTTTACTTCAATAATTCGCTGTCATGTAGGGATATTTAGCAGTGGGAGGACCTGGAGAAAACCCACAAAGGTTGGACAGGTTGAATTATTTATTTCAATAATTCCCTTGCGCGTAGGGGTCTTCAGCAGTGGGAAGAAATTGTAGGAACCGGAGAAAACTCACGAGGTTGGACAGGCGACCCTACTCCTTGCCACATACAACTGGGTAATCGAAACCACACCAGGTGACTCAATGGCAGACCTTATGATACAGCACGTACGTCCCATGTTATTTCATCATAAAATAACCGTAAGCTATTATAGATTTGACAAGGTAATTCATTTTTGTTTTTTTAGAATCTGTCGGTGAATGCTTGTAAAGAAAAAACAGAATGGGTAGAATCTACAGTTGATGCTACGACTCAAGATTTTATACAGCAGAAAGCTAATATAGAAGAACTCGTTGGACCTATTATGCAGAAACTATCTGAACCATGTAAGTAATTAAATAATTATTTATAATTAATAATCAGGGTTTATGAAGTACATAATTATAGCTGAAATCGAATCACGACAAGGACAGGGGCAGATACGAAAAATCTAGGAAGAGGGGGAAAGACAAATTTGCAACAGGTATCACAGCAAGATGTTGTATTTCCGGGTGTGTGAAGTAGCATTGGAAAATGTTGGATTTCTATTTTCGGGGGCATTTTCTTTATGAAAATCGATATATATAAAATCTATGACTGTTCATTTCGCTGGCTAATTGGCGTGGGTGGGGGGGCACAATAGGATTGTCACCACCTCCCTCCACCCCTTAAATCCAATCTGCCTTAAGTCAACATCTAAATCCATCCAAGCATCTGAACGACTAGACAGATGTCCTTGTCAGGCTCTCCATCCTGCATCACTGACAAGGGGAAACCACGCCGGAAAATTTGGATGAACTTTCTCGGCCAATGCAGGGATCGAACTACCCGTCTCATTACCCAATGGTGCAGAGAGGTAGGACATTAAAACCTCATTTCATTTGATTTCTAATCCTTGCACCACGCTTGTACGTGACAAGGAGTAGGGTCACCTGTCTGACCTCGGGGTTTTTTATCCGGGTCCTCATTTTCATCCCACAACTTAAGACCCATACTCGCAAAAACAAATTTTTGAAATAAAATCAAACTATATGTTAGTCCTGAACTGACCTAGTTTATGTGGAGGAGACCTCCCCCCCCCCCCTCATCCCTCAAACACACAGAGAATGGGATGATGAGTATTGATAAAAGTTTGATGTAGACTGTTTCATGCATTTGGACTACCAAATTGTAGTATAAAGAAAACTTTTTCCATTCACAGCAAATTAATTATTTGTAATACATTTTTATTGTGATGAAGCGCCCCTTGTAATCAGTGTATTTATTTACCATGCTACTATTACAGATAAATGTATAAACAATATTTGACTAATCAGGGGCGGATCAAGAATTTTAAGAAAGGGGCGGAGGTCGTGCTGCCCCCATTTAGGAGTGCAATTCTGAGTACATTACACTGGGATCACTCCTTTTTTAAGTATTTTTGTTCTCCTTTCCCGCGAGAATATATGGGTCAAAAAATTGTTCGGCACCGCAAAAAATAGGGCGGGTATGCGCCGGTGCGTCCCCCCCCCACCCACCGATCTGGGCCTGCTAATTGTATTACGTATATAATATCTGGCTTTAAAATACAGATGTGACGTCATCCTTTGATGTTGGCGTACCATTATTTCCAATAATGTACGGGCAACTTGCTAATCGTAAATTATCTTTAGATGAAATATTGGACTCGCGTGACGTATTTCATTGAATAGCACGTGCGGGATAGTGTCTGTATTTTAAGTTGTTTAATGGTCTTTAGCTAAAGACATTGCGTAATATATTGAAACAACAGTATCAATATATTACTTAATCAATGTTTCCTTATTCGTTGATCCTTTATTGCAGATTTTGGTCAAATGGCAGCCATTTTTTTTACGTCATAATTTTACCCCTTGCGGTGGCTCAATTTTGGCCAACTTTTGGTATGTTGTTCTTTGGACCAAATACTATAGGAAAATGCAATAAAACGTTTGCTTGCCATTTGTTTTTGGATTATTCTGCAATTTGACCTTACTATTAGTTGATTATTTTGTAATTTTTCAGTACCTGAAAAACCAGAGAAGAAATAGAAATAAAGGAAAACAACAGAATTTAAATTAATGGATCAATGCCTTATTTCAGAAAATTTACTGTCCAGTTTATTTAAGTTAAAACACCATGCTATTGAATAATATATTTAATTTTACTACCTAATAAAACTTTTTTTAAATACTAGTATATAATTTATTGTTTATTGCAAATGGCGTTTTGATGTCTGCACGCCACTGACTACATTTGGTATTTCAGACACGTTATCCGTTTTGGTTTTTGAAAAAGCAAAATTGTTTATATGTTTTTTCAGAGGGATATTATTTGCTGCTATCACCAAGATCGGCACCGTGGCTGTTACACCCAGGCTCTCGTCTAAGGCTTCAGTGCTGACCGCGGAGACCCTCCATATTCAGAGGATATAATTATATCCTACAAAACGATCATATTAATTGGAGTCGTAATATTGCTAGATCAAATAATGCAATCTGATACCGAAAGCCATAAATGCTGATATGAATTAATGTCGTACCCAACTGTTTTCTTGGAGGATGTCTGTCTGAATATCTTCTTGTGAGTTTTTAGTGTACCCGTTTCCGCTGGTTACATGAAAACAGCCCCATTACATTTGCATTAGACCTACTTTTACGCCGGCGGAAATGTCATGAAACGCGCACATGGAAAACCACTCTGATTAAAACACAGGGCCCTTATTCACAAAAACTTAAACTAAGTTACAACCGAAATTTTAAGAAATACTGCAACTTCATTGGATATATGCAAATTGATTTTACTGGTCAGCCAATCGAATTGCAGTATTTCTTAAAATTTCGATTGTATCTTAGTTTAAGTTTTCGTGAATAAGGGCCCAGATCCTATTTCGTTTTGTTATTTTATAGTTCAAAATTTTATTTTATGTGCCTTTATTACACTAGGATCTGGAAGTGTTGTTATATAACCCGCTTCTGGTTGATGTGAGGGATTATCCAATAAAACGGTCTGTTGCAGCTATAAGTCTTGGCGTGTAATGCACGGAACTGTGGGTATTCCACTAGAAACATCAATGCTGATTGGTTAATCAATGTCTGAAGTCATAGTATCAAAAGCTGCTCGTATGACCACTGACATGACCTACCAAAACATCTGGTCAGATCTTCATGTAGTGTAGGCCATCGAAAGTATAAAATACGAAACGAAATATAGATCTGTATTGTAATCAGATTGATGGAAAACGAATCTTACATTGTTCATGTATATAGAGGATATTTATATTTTATTTCATCGAGAAGCAAGAAAACTTATATTTTCACGAATGCGTAGCATGAGTGAAAATATAAACGTTTTCTTGCTTAGAGATGAAATAAAATATGTTATTCACGACAAAACGACAAATGTTCTATTTATTTTATGATTTTACAATCATTTTAGGTAAAAACAACTAGCCAGTGGAATAACACTTTTATTTCACTGATAAAACGCGGTATTCCACTGCTGATCATAAAATAAATTGTGTTATCTACAACATTCATTTTTGTCTTGTTTCACTTTCTTTGTAAACGACATTTCTGAGAAGCAGACTATAGTTTTAATCCTTTCGTATTTGATAATCCATATGCTTTGCTTAGAACAATAACTGGGAGCATAACAAGATAAGATAATAATAATACTAATAATAATATCAATCAATTTATATAGCGCTGAGTGCTCCATCTAACACGCTGCTCCAGGGCACTCCTCACAATCGGGGAGCCACAGTGGCTAGTGGGTAAGACGCTGGCTCGCTATCCTGGAGGTCGGGTGTTCGATCCCTGCATTGGCCAAGAAAGTTCATCGGGATTTTCCAACATGGTTTCCCCTTGTCAGTGGTGTAGGATGGGGGGCCTAACAAGGACAGCCGTCTAGTCGTTCGGATGGGATGGAAAACCTGAGGTCCTGTGTATACATTGGCATGTACGTAAAATATCCCTTGGCAGTTGGAATTCGATATAAGAGTAGGCCATAGTGCAGCTGCCCGGGCAAAATTTCCTTCACAGTACACACTGTATGGTTATGCCCGTCTTCATTAGCCAAGTCGGTACAGAACAGTAGGATGTTGAACCCCATTTCATTTCAATTCATTTCATGCCCTTTACAATCAAAATATATACAATGTAAAACAATAGTTCTAAAACATTAAAATTTCAAAATGTTCCTAGTTTAAACGCATTTTTAATGGCTCATCATGAACAGATAATTCACAATATTAATATGGATTGCACTCCACAACATTACTTTTAACAATATTTATAAATATTTAGGTTGCACCAATTTATACATCTAATAAATAAATAAATAATTAAATATATTTACATAACATTACACATTACATTGTCACACCTGGTCATGACAAATCAAGGATGACATCAAAAGCAAATATCAAGTGTTAAGCTTATTACTGTGATGGTGCTCTGAACATGTCATGACCGGTGGTGGTAAATGATAAGGTCAGCTCAATTTTTCGTCATAGGTCACACATGGGGGGGGGGGGCCTCACAAATTTACATAGTAGGCCCTAACTCCTATTTATTTACAACAATTATTAGGATTAATTAAGATTCTATCTGTATAAAAGCTGCACAAATCCCAATATGCATACGGCACCCCCTGACTTAAACATGATAAACATTGTATTGGTGTGATGTTTTAGTTTAACCCGGTAAAATATGCCAAATCAGTGTTTACAGTAGACCGAAACTTTAAAAAAATTTTATGTTGGGTGCCTCAATCCGGTGTCACAGATGTCAACATTTTATATAATTTTATTTGCCCCCCCCCCCCAATATATATTTCACGGCTACGCCTGTGGCTAGCCCAAATGCTTACCCTAACCCAAACCTACAACCTACATCTCAGCGATCTTGACAAAAATTGAGCTGGCCTTTACTTTTAAATTTATCCTGACATGACAAACAGCAGAATTTATCAACATTTATACTGACAGAACAATGATAGGAAACTGTTATCCTATTTAGGAAAAAAAACGCTCGAATATATCACCGTTACACCGTAGTTCGAATTTCGTGAAAATCGGACCAAAACTGCCGGACAAAATGGCCGCTCCTCGTACGCAAATAGTGTAAAAAAAAATATGGTATATCAATTTGCGGACCTTCTAGAGGTCACCATTTTGTTCCGATTTTGATAAAACTCGAAATGCATGTTTATAACCCAAAGATCTTGTTGATTCCTTTTGATAATTGCATATCGGTCCGTAACGTCCTGAATTATGGTCTTTGATTGTACGAAAAATCGCGTTTTTAGCTTGTGCTCCCCTTTAGAGGTTGAGTTCGAATTTTGTGAAAATCGGACCAAAACTGCCGGTCAAAATTGCCGCTTCTCGTACGCAAATAGTGTAAAAATATGGTATATCAAGCTGTGGAACCTCTAGAGGCCACAATTTTGATCCGATTTTGATGAAACTTTAAATGGTTTGTAAAGATCTTGGTTCCTTTCGATAATCGCGCATATATCCAAACGTAACTGCCTGGACTATGTCCCCTGATTTTTCGAAAAATCGCATTTTTAGCTTGTGGACCCGCTAGAAATCACAATTTGTATTCAATTTGAAAAAAAACGTTTAAATATGCCACCGTTACATATCAACGAAGGTTGAGTTCGAATTTTTAAAATCTGACCAAAACTGCAGGACAAAATGGCCGCTCCTTGTACGTAAAGTGTAGGCCTAAAAGTATGTAATACCAAGAAGGTTGTGGACCCTCTAGCAGTCACAATTTTTATCCGATTTTGATGAAACGTAAAATATATTATGTATCTTTATATCACAGATATCTCAGCCCCTTTCGATATTCGCGCATTTCAGACCACTGCTTTCTGGATTATGGACATTGATTAAACGAAAAATCGCCTTTTTTATTAGCTTGTTCTCTACCCACGTCTCTTGCAAAATGTGGGCGTATCTTGCCAGGCAACCACTGGTTAAGCACGCGAAGACAAACATTTGCTCTTTCGATACAGGAATTTTAGTTTAGAATTTGCTTGATCCCATTTTTATCGTTTTGAGGGGTGTTAATTTAATAATAATAATAATAATAATAAATATTATAATAAAAACTTTATGTAATGAGGCAACCTATTTAGTTAGTAGTTGCTTTTACAGGAATAACAAGCCAACAGTGAGGCTGATGTCCCCCGCCGAAATAGGAAAATAATTAGAGGACACATATAAATTTATCACAAATTATCTTTTACAAAGTATTGAACAATCAAACAGTATATCTTTACTTATAGTCTAAGCATACAATGTTTTTGATGGAATAATTATAGCATATTAAGGGGAAAACATGCTCTATGCCTACAGATCTAGAGTTTGGTTGTATCAACGGGTCTATTTTCCATCTTGCTGCAAGTTGTGCAAAGTTCACTGTTTTCTTTCTGTCATTAAATGTCAATTCATTATTGCATACTACATATTTAATTAATTTATAATAGTTTCTTTTTCAATTTGTTTTTTCCATTTATTTGTTTATTTACCTTGCCTATATTCATTGTATTGGATTGTATTGGAATTGCTCAATTGATGCTTTTATCAATACCTGGTTATAATATTATGACATGTAATGTGGCAAGTTGAGTCGGGACATGTAGGCTATAATGTAACCTAAATGTATACATAAGTGGATTTCGTTTCATTTTTTTCGAAAATATTGTACAGATAAAAGAGGAGGAATTACAGGGGTAATACATTGGAAAGCTTCTTCAAGAACTAAAGCATAAACTATATAAACGAGCTTATAAAAAGGAAAAGTTTGTATAAAGACGTTTCGTTTGCACAACTGGGTGATGATAAATCACGTTTTGTCTTTCTAGCAGACGACACCGTTTTACGGCTCTGCTTACCCTAAGCGGAAAATGCTCATCTTCGAACTCCATCAAGGCATTGACCTAATCAACACATACACCAAGTTTGAACATTCTAGCTCAATTAGGAAGAGAGTCATCGTGCCCCAAAGTATCAACCAATCAAATTGCTTATCTCTGCTTACCCTAAGCGGAAAATGCTCATCTTCGAACTAGGCGGGGGACAATCAAAGTAGGAGAGTTATTGTTTTCCAAAGTCTCGACCAATCAAATTGCGTATCGCTCTGCTTACCCTGAGCAGAAAATGCTCATTATCAAACTTAGTCAAG